AATACTTGAGGATGATCTTAACGATGAAATACAAACTGGAAGCAATAACATATTGATTCCATTTTCTGATTGTTTACAATCGCGTGATATGGAGTTTACCTGTGTGTGAATAAAAAGTCCAAGTTATCTTCATTTTGGATCGACAGTTTCAAGGGAGAATGAAAAAAAATAACGTAATAAAATTTTCGATATTAGGCACTTCGGTTAGAAAATGGTTAAAACATCATGAGTAATGCATAGATAATATAATTCAGAGTATTTTATGCAGAATTATCGTAAACCATGGGGTAGTTTACCCCTTGGAAGGTTTGTCTGACGGAAATCCTAAAAGACGTCGATTTAGCTATTCGAATTTCTATCAAAGGCACCAATTTTCAGTGAGATTCAGTCAAATTGAGTCTTTATACCGAAATGACGTATAAAAAAAACCTATTTTTGTTCAATAAAGTATTGTAAAAGCCAAAACTTGTAAACGAAACCTGTGTCGATAAAAGCCCCTTCGAATGAGTAATTGAATGTAGAAAAAAATTGAGAAAAGATGACGTCGTTTTCGGGAAATCGCGAAAAATAATTTTTTGGAGTAAATTTTGAACGCTATTTTCTGCTCTTTATGACCGAATTAGCACGTAAAAAAATGCGTGGTTAATTATTTTTCACGTAGAATAACATATGTCAAAATGGAAAAATCGGTGAGGTACACCTGGGGACCTTTCCTTGTCAGTTCCATTGTTCTCCGATAGGAGCTACATCATATTCAATTTTCATCGAAATCCAAAAAAAACGATTGAATAGTACGGAGCGCCCTGTAATCAATGATGTCATCCATATATAACGCTGGAAATTGATTCGACGAGCTAATCTCTGGTTACGTTTTTTCCCCAATGAGGATTCATTCTTGGTCTTCGGTGAATGCGTTACAGGATTTGAGGGGGGGGGGGGTGGAGAGAGCACGATGGAGAAAGGAAAAACAAATTTTTTGGTGACAATGAATCGTTCTTAAAATAATGATGATGTTGTGAATCAGTTTTTCCCATTTAAAAATTCCGTTTTTAGTTATTGCACACAGAAGAAATTAAAAACTTTCGAAGAATCGTCGTCCTTGCAGACCAGATTTAATATGCATATGGATCCGCTACGTATTGTATATTCATGGTTTCTTAGCTCCATCAGCTTTTGTGATGGTTTTGGATGGATTATTCTCAGAGGTGACGTCTTGAAAGTTATATCCATAATGCATAGGATGTAGGCCTTCGGTTATAACACCGCGGAGTTTTGTTTAGTCTCTCCAGCGAGGCTTGCAAGATATTGCGGCAACGTTATATTCATGTTATGCTCCTTCCATGAAAGGCAGCATCTTCTCTATTTTCATCTTTTTAAGTTTTATTGGCTTCTTGATAGGTAATATTTCCATCAGTCCTTTGCTCCTGATGTCAGATGACAATTTACTTTACGACTTCATTGGGATGTAATGTGAAACAAAATATGGTAGACTAATGGTTGGAAATTGATTTGATCAATGACATTCTCGAAACACTATACTTTGCGGAAAGTTTGAACGTCCATACTGTAACATACAAAGCCTTAATGGACCATCCCTCTGATGTATGTCAACATCAACTACTTCGTGGGAATTCATGCAGCTTGGTCTTTATGTTTGAATCGAAGTGAAAATTGAAACAAGTAGGCCACCGCTCACCTATGCTTGGCATTCACAGAGAAAAAAAGTGGATAAGCTTTAGAAAAAAGTTTTAGAAAAAAATCGTTTAAAATTAATAATCAAAATTGGGATTAATTTTAAACCAAAATATTCTTAATTTTATAAAAAAAAATTTTTTCTAAATCTAGAAATTTTTTTCAATTTTTGCGGGGGAATTTTGCAAACAGAGGGTAATAATATCCGAGGAGGGGGCTTGTAAATAGGGGGGTTTTGCAAAGACGGGTAGTTTATGAGAGGGTGGATTACCGTTGGGGTGTTTCAAAACTAAGGGAGATAGCGAATTTTTATTGAAAAAGTGGGGTGGAGGTATCATTTTGTTTTTCAATTTGTCGAAAATAGAAATTTCCGAATTTTCAAAAATTTCTAAAATTTTAAAATTTTCGAAATTGTCAAAATTTTCAAAATTCTCAAAATTTTCAATTTGGACAAAATAAAACAAAATTGAGAACCACCCCCCTTTTTCCGTAAGAATTCATTCTCCCTTAGTTTCGGTGATATTTTTGAAAAACTCGCCGCAAGAAATCCCTTGGGTCAACAGCAGATCTATTGAATCTAGTGTGTGAAGTACTAACGACTAAAACTTCTCTCCCTTGTTTCAAGGAAAAGCTTTGAATTGAGCGAAGGAAAACCGAAGCTTTACGCACGGGAATTCATTTCACGCATGCTCGTGAACTGTAGGCACGCCGTGCAGAAAACAACCGCTCGCAGAATCAATCCTAGGCACCCTCATCCCTTCGTTTGTGTGCGTTGTTAAAATAAAAAATGCAATTGTTAAAGGACAAAAAATTTCTCGAAATTTGAGACTCCACTAGGAACTGAAGGGGGGGGGGGAGTCATATATGCGGATGGTTGAAAATTGTACTCAACAACGGGAGGGGATTGCATACATGCCTTTTCGTCACAAAAACTTTTCAATAATTTTCGAGATATTTCATTTGAAAGTGGCCTACTCAAGAGGTATTTTTTTAATAACTAAAAAGCTATTCCTGGCTTTTGACCATGTTTTTTCCTATGCTGTCCTGAGCATTCAAAAAACAATTATCAAAATCAGTTCACTATTGACCAAGTTGAATACAAACCCCATTTATAAAGCCACACTAACAGGACCAATAATACGAGAGAAGAACCAAGGTGCTCATCAATAAATTATCATCAAATATTCCAATAATATCATTACAATTTGCAGCTATAGTGAATTAAAGGAATTAAATTTTTTTTTATCGTTTTGATTGCGTAGATTTCCGTCTCAAAAGAAAATAATAATCATATTTCATTGAATAACCTTTTTTTCAATGTGAAATAATATTTCTTTGAAATAATTGATATTTCTTCAAATAATTTTCAATCGATAATCTTCAAGGTGATTCAAACTAATTGGTTAGCCATTTATAATGACTCAAATGGGTTATGAATTAGTTGAATTGAACAGTTAAATTAGAGAGTTCATTTGAGGGTGAGTTACTACAAACCTAACTTGCCTCACAGATCGTTTTCTATTATAAATTGAGGATTTGATTATGAATATTTGAAATCCATAATTAAAGTTGAATAAATTATTCAGTGGAACATTATTCACAATTCCTAATTTTTGAATACTCATAAATTTTTAGATCGATTTCTTCGGTTACGATGAAATTTTGAAAGGAAGTGTTGATACATCGTAGCTTTAATCCATACGTAAGAGACTCAAGAAACCCAGGGAATGATCCTTAATAGTTGTGAGTCTGACAAGTCAAGATCCACGCTGTCGAATAGCCTCGCCTTGCCTCAGGAACGAACGACAGAGGAAGAAGGGAGAACAAAAGTGCCAAGACGTCAGATAGGATTATTAACAAGATAGGGAGCCCACGGCATACTTTTTTCTTTCCGTCAAAGCCTCAAGTTTCCTTGATTTTTTCAAGCTTTCCTAATTCATTCCGGTAATTCCTGATATGCATCTTCCCCCGTATGAGCCTTATAGCTTGACGAGACTCAATGACTGAGATCTGGGATTGTATGATCTTATTGTTGACTGCAGCCTAGAATGACGATGATTAATGATGTCATTCGCATGGCTCAATTCAAACTTATTTCAGGCCCCGAGCATTGACCCTTTTTCCATTGGGCATTGAGCCATAATCTATCGATTCTGAATTCATCAACCTTCTGATTTACAACATTTTTCGAGTAACTTGACGAGTAATTTGAAGGATACAAGCAGGGGTTCGAGCCTATCCAACAGAAGGCAAGTGTCCGTTATTTTTTGCGTCATTAGTCTCTTTTTTATTTCTACCAATTCCATTGATAGTGAGATTTCGAATGGATCCGTAGCAATTCTCTATCCTTATGATAGGCATACATGCTGCCGGCAACGTAGACATGCCACTATTATATGAAAAAATAGTCAAAATCCCAGCATTGAGAGAATACTTGGATAAAAATCATCTAGGAAATCGCAGGTAATTTTACGATTGGTCGGGTAACAAAAGATTTACGGATGCAAAACTCCTTGTCCCCTCTACAGTAACATTTCTCACAACACTAAGGAATTTTTTTCTGGCTCCGATAAGTAGGACGACGATATTTAAAGTGTACCATATCACATTTGATGGAACAACAATCATTCTTCGTCACATAGAAATTCCTACACATATGTGAAAGATTACGCAATACTCGGCAATTATTCAGGCACACAGGATAGTTTTGGATGGAATAAATGGTAAATTTCACAGTTCGATACAAATAACCCTTACGTTTGATCAATTTTCCGAAGTCAGCGGAGAAAAAGTCACTATTCGTCTCGCACTTTTTGCCTCGCTATAGGATGAAAAAGACCTAGAAATGGATTCCGCTCCACGATTACTTGATTTTTTGGGTAATTTTGCTTCAACGTATCTCTCCGTAAGGCGTGTCACAAAATGATTGGTTTGTAATTTATGGAATGACCCATATATTGTTTACTGCAGGTCATTCAACCTGTAGCCGCGAAGAATGAACAACGAGTGTAGTACATTAGAGGCGTAGAAGTCGTACATGAAATGACCTTCACTTCGCATCTCTTCCAAGTTCCTCGTTCTATTGCATAGTCTCAGCTTATTCTTACGTTTTCTATTGTTGAGGTTATTCACGCTCACGTTTCTCTGTATATTTTGCCGCACGAGTCACGAGTTTGTGTGAGAAGGTAGTGAATTCAAGTCATGAATTACAAACGAGGAGGCGAATAACGTCAGCGGTTTTCTATTCATGAGTAATTGTTTATCAATATTGTAACAGTTTGGAAATTTGGCAAAGGGGAAACACAAACCTGTGAGTCCTTGAGGCCGAGTCTTTCTGCAAGTTTCTTCCGTTCTGGTTTATTGATATATTTTTGTAGTTGAAACCGTTTCTCCAGTCCTCGCCTTTGGGTATCTGAGAAGACCGCTCGTCTCATCATTCCCTTTCTAGGTCGCCCGCGTGTACTTGCTGCCCAGGGAAAACACGCTGCACTTAAACTGGCAAGATCTCCTAAGCCTGGTTGTATTGCAGTGGGAAACACGCTTCCACCCACGGCGGAGCTTCCTGATAGATGGCCGCCATTACCAGGATTACTCACTGCATGGGAAAAAAAATATGGATGATAATTACACCTAGAAAATGTGTATATTGAAAATCACGTTCGCGTACCGACCACGAAGAATTCTTGACTTTCGATATCTAAAAACTCTCGCCGAGGCGTATCTGTTGTAAGAATATTCTAGGAAATTTCTTGTGCCATCCGGAGATCTCACAGACTTTCAATAATGATCCCCCGGAACTTCAATCGAGTTGATCAAAGATGCCGAGTATTACATAATTTAAATCGATACAAATTAATTAATAAGAGATTCCTTTCTGTAATCTCTGTTCTGGCAGGTTAAGATTAAGTGACATCGCATAAGATTAATTACCGTTACTTTTATGTAGATGATAATGTTTTCTAGTTATTTTGATTCAGTTAACAATGATTTTCCGTTATTATTTTCTTCATGATGCAAATTCGCCGGTAGGAATCTTATGAATTCAGGTACATAGGGCCAATACGATTCTCGTAATATCTCGGATACGATAAGTTCAACAGGCCAAGATTGGGCCAGTACTGAGAGCCGTGTCGTAGCTGATCCAACAACTAATTGTTAATAATTGAAATATAATTAGCTTCACGATTTTATCCTTCGTTTTGATTCTTTGAAAAAATGACGTATACTGAGAAAAAAACATTTTTTCAATACCGTATTTCTCTACTCAAGTCACTCCCAGGCAATCCTCATTAGGTTTCAATTATGACAATTATATTGCTCTAGAAGATGATGATGTTAGTTATGACCTTGAGCAAACCCCCTCACTGAGTATCAACATTAAAAAATTGATCGAAATTCTTCCCTCTAAAGAAAATGAAAAATTTAGGAAAAATGAGTAATCATTGGAGGAGTTAATTTATAGTCATGTGCAACATAACCATTCGGTAGAGCAACATGATTGTCATAATTTGGCTTTCTTTTTCTATTATTTGAATTTTTCCAAAATTTCAACCTTTCAGTAACAGCCAAATAAAACTTTTACTTGATGTCTCTACTCCACTTGACGAAGCCAAAACTATATAGAAGTACTGGTCAAGGTGTTCGCCGTGCCGGGTTCTGGAAGGCACTAGGGGTAGTTGGCGTCGCAAACGGTGGTCCCTGGGGCACCAGGTCCCACCCCAGGTATATGCAGTGGCTTTACCCCAACATCTAGGGTTCTGTTCGGAGTGGACTGTTATATTTCCTCAAGTACTCGTGGGAACACAATGGAAGACAATATTATACAACAAAAAGGAGATAGAGGAGAAGTAAGCGGACACCATGCCCAAGAAGCCGCACTGAAAGCGAGTGCAGAAATAAAGAGTAAGCATGCGTTGGATACTTTATTCTCTCCTACCCCACCCTAATCTACCGATAATACTGCTGGGTATCCGCGGTCCAATTGTGAACATTCATTTTATATCTCCAAAATTATCGGTCCCAGAACACTGGAGCATGCGCCTCGTGGTCGGAGAAAGTGATCCGCGTTGAATGGCGCAGGAGCCAACATTATCCGTCGCTCTCTCGATGCTGCAGCATGAGTTTTTTGTGGTGGCCTTGCATCACAGGAACTTCGATAAAGTGGTGGGGGCCACACGTCGAAGCCTGAGTTGCCTGCTGGCGTGCGTCTATTTTCTCCCGCATGTACGGTGGTATGAGTACCCCAGACTCGGTGTGTTTGTGCCCATAGGTGACTTCATAGCTCCTTCCCCGATGCTCTGCTCCACTCCCCTCGTCGCGAAATTCACACACAACCCCCGGTGAACGCTATCGGGTTGAGAAGAATAAAGTAAAGAGTAAATACAAGAAAATAGATCTGAAAATGTGGCCTTGGGTAATCCGACTCCTCGCTGCAGTTTAATTACGAATTTTTCCCCCAATGAACCGCTGTCAGTTCAGGCGAGGAACAATACATGATTTTTATCATGTTACAATATTATATAATATATATGTATAAAGCACATATAATATGTATTTATATATACAATTCTTTTAATATTTTATATTTTCATTTTTATATATTATTTGATTGTGTTCTTCATATGGTAAGCTAAACTATGCCACGAAAAACGGTCGGACGGATTTTTTTAGTCAGATTCTCGGCGTGATAATTACCGGTCCTGAGGCTGGTCATTCACGGTCATTTTTGTCACTCACATCTCTAATAGCGTCTGATGCTCTAAAATTTTCAGTGCTTCAACTTTTAGGACTTTTGGGTACCCCAAAGAACCTAATAAATGTACCAAAGTCTCGTTCTCTAAAAAATCATAGATTGCCTGGAATCACCCATATACGACTACTGTTACTTGAGAGAATGAATTCTGCGGAATATCGACGGTGGTGTGATGAAAAGGGCTTCCACGGCGATAGTTGAGCGACTATGAGCGAATGTTGATATCTCGCCCCAGAATTCATCATGAGAATCAGTAAATTCTATCAAAATTCTTATTAGCTAATGAGCAATACGTATCATTTAATTATTCACACTTTTCACATATGTGAGAATATTCACAAAAGTTGCGTTGGAGATGATGAAATAAAAGAACCGATAAATGGAAAAAAATTTATCGAAATGTTTGTATATATTCAACGAATGCAAATATTGCCAAGCTGAGCATGACAATATCATTTCTCCGCTATATGGTATTTTCAGGTGTACACTTGTTGCATGCTGCCACTGTTATCACATATGGCCTTGCGTATAGAGGTAGAGTACCAATCGAGAATTGTGGGCCGCTTCCCTGTACGACGCCTCCATTATACGCAGAATGCAAATAGTATGGAGTGAACGCGATAGTAAGACAGAGAGAGAGTGAGAGAGAGAGAGAGAGGGGGGGGGGGGGGCTTNCTATGAGCGAATGTTGATATCTCGCCCCAGAATTCATCATGAGAATCAGTAAATTCTATCAAAATTCTTATTAGCTAATGAGCAATACGTATCATTTAATTATTCACACTTTTCACATATGTGAGAATATTCACAAAAGTTGCGTTGGAGATGATGAAATAAAAGAACCGATAAATGGAAAAAAATTTATCGAAATGTTTGTATATATTCAACGAATGCAAATATTGCCAAGCTGAGCATGACAATATCATTTCTCCGCTATATGGTATTTTCAGGTGTACACTTGTTGCATGCTGCCACTGTTATCACATATGGCCTTGCGTATAGAGGTAGAGTACCAATCGAGAATTGTGGGCCGCTTCCCTGTACGACGCCTCCATTATACGCAGAATGCAAATAGTATGGAGTGAACGCGATAGTAAGACAGAGAGAGAGTGAGAGAGAGAGAGGGGGGGGGAGGTCTTGTGCGTTCACACTGCACTTGATATGCACTCCATGTCCCACCCAGTAGCGCCCGCATTATATCACATTCTATAGACCTTCTGCCTCTACAACTAGATTATCGATAATCACGTGCTGTGTGATACATAATCGCGTGCAACCGCAATTATGTACAAGATTTCTCTAATATCCAAGTATCGTTGAATGGCCACACCTATTTATGAATGAAGTTCTGTTGTCATGCGGAAAAAAGCTTCTCCCTAAAGTTCGGCTTGCGAACTACGTTCGTTGTCCCCACACACGGACGAATTTCCAATGAACTTGGTTCGCAATGATCCGGCGTTTTTGAAGTCGTTTTGAAAGAGGACGAACGGTGATCCTGGACCCCCAAAGCCAGTTCGTGGATCCCACACACGGACGAACTCCGTTCGTGGAAGGCTCGATTTCACTATGTTAGTGCACATGGTTATTGTTTTGCCGTGTAGGGCGGTCTTTTCTCTTTTGGAAAATGTAGTGCACATGGTTATTCGTTTTTATTGTTACTGTCATTTACAGTCTGAGTAAAAACTTTTCCTTGGCCAATACACTTGCGCATATAAATATAATGATTAGATGAATAGTTTTCGTTCTTTGACTTCAGTATTTTTTGTAAAAAATTCTAGAAATCTGAAGAAAGTTTTGAAAATTTCTGGAATTTACTATGTCGCAACAGGTTAAGGATTCCTTAAGAAAAATTGAAAAACAGAGTCTAAATGTTTTTTTTTATATCTCCAATTTTAACTGGTTCCGAATTAACTGACAAAAAATGCGCGCCTTTCACTGCCTACGAGGATCAATTCCCCAAAATCCTCCCTCAAGGTGTATTTACCTAACCATAGGAACCTAAAGCTAAAAGATGATGTTCATAACTTCAGTAGTCTCGGCTGTGCATTGATAAGTCAGTCACCCGCAAAATACATTCTCCTTCATCTAAAGAATTGTACGCAAACCAAACACGGAGAGCAAATTCTGGCAAAAATTAGTGTGCTATTCACCAACTCATGAGAGCAAATAATGGCCACCAATAAATTCGGCTGTTACACCCAAATTTTTGAGGGAATTCCACGGAAAAGTAGCATAAAATCTTCAAAAATTAGAGTGCTATATACAAATTCTTGGGTTAACCGTCCGAAGTTTTTGGTGACCCCTATTCGTTCCTACGGCTAGTATGGAGCACATTAATTTTTGAAGGAACGCGTGCGGAATTTTCATGTATTTTTCTCTCCGTGCCGCTCACATCAGTCCGAGAATCGAGTTTCGTCGGACAAGTTTAGTTGAAGAGACTATAATTACCAGTTAAATAGGGCCCACGACAAGCCAACAGTTGCAACGTATGATGTGCGTGTGGTGAAAAAGGATGCTGTGCAGGTGGCCCCGGTTGATGTGTTGAGTGGGGTGGATGATGAGGGTGATAGGCCGTTGGACGTGCTATTGGTTTAGCTATTCCGGACGCATAACCAGTCTGAAGAGTCGCTGAATGTTGTAGACTGTGATTGAAGTTCGGTAGTATTTGAAGTACCGGTGGATTTTCTGAAATTGAAATAGTAAATTTTCATGAGTCGGGACAGTTACGGCCACTGATTCTTTTTTCTGATTCTGTTAGAGATTACCAACACGGAGAGAAAAATTGTAGAATTTCTGATGTGAAATTCTAAGAAAATTCTGGTACGGCAGTGTCTATTCACACGCTCCACGGTAACTTTGGATATACGGGACATTTTCCCGTGGATTCAAGGTAATTTCGACGGTGGATATATGGGAGACCGTGTACCCTCAACTTTTACTTCTCAAATTAAATCTAGACAATAAACTAGACACATCGAATCAATTGATGAGTGATATGCAGATAGTAGACTAGTAAATAATTTTCTCAAAATATTAATTCGTTGAATACGGATATCAGTCTAAATTAACGCAAATAAAAAATAAAATAAATAGTTGACAAATAGTTGACTAAATGCAAATAAAAGATGAAATCGAATGTTTTTTACATTTTGTGTGAACGTTTTCTTAACAATATTCATATTTGTCTAATGGGGTCCGAGTGCAGGGTTCATAACAGAGATATCAGACAAGATGTGAATGTTTTTCGAGGCCCGAGTGCAAGAGCGGGTCTCGAAATATGGTGCAGATGTTTCTAAGGATGATTTTCTAACCATGGGAGACTCCTAGACCCCACTGGACAATGTTGTCACAACTCTGGTTTTCAACTCTGAAAAATTGAGAACACTAAAGGAGAGAGCGAATTTTTATGAAAATTTAGGGGGTGTGGGAAGAGGGGGGGATGTATTAGGAATCGACAATCAAAAAAATTAGCTGCATTGAATTCTCAATGTATAACAGTATTAATCCAAGGTTGGCACAAGGTTGGTTCAAGGTTGGTACAACGTTGGCCCCAAGTTGGTCCAATGTTGGCACATGGTTTTTTGACTATGATTCAAAAACTGATAATGACATCAACACCATGTTCGAACCCGATCTGGCTAACATGAATACCAATATTTCTAGTGCAAATTCAATCGATTTGGAAAATTATTTTTTTAGTTATCGTGGCAAGAGCGAATCGGTCACACACATATGCACACACATACATACATATACGGACGTGCTCTAAAACAATCTCATTCTGATTCCTGAACCCAGAATTAGTCATCCTAACAAGAAAAACTACAAAATTTAATGTTGAGGAATACAATGCTTCCACTCGGAAGCAAAAATCGAAAAATTTGAATTCTCGGTAAAGCCATTATTTTTTATGTCATATTATGTGCGTGGAAATAAACATTCAAATCAATCCATCAGAAATTTTTATGCTTGTACAGCAACCGGCCGCACATGAAAAAAAATTGAAAACTCGATTTTTTCTCATTTCTTGAGTATAAAACCGAAGTTCCAAAGTCATCTGTATGATGCAAACAACCCCTTGCAACATTCAAACTTCACTGCAGTCTCCCCTTAATACGGAAAAATAATGAGTGACGAATGCTTATGTGGAACCAGGATCGAAAGAAGAAGGAAAATACCGGAAAGAATAGAAAGAAACAATTGAATGTGGTTTCGGAAATAGCTATGAAATAATGGGATGGTGAATGGGTGTGACCCGTTTTGATCCCTATACAAAAATCGACACATAACTGAGAGTGGCAACAATGAGATTCTCATTGTTATTTCCCCAAAGGTTACCCTATAAAATACTCATCGGGTTTTATCGTTGTTTTCTTAACCGACCAATGAACAGCCCCTAAAGGTTTCTAGAACGTTTGCGCTACATCATTGAATAGACATATCCCTTCTCTGCTTTTTTATTTCCAAGCAAACTCTCTTCAAGCGGGATGTTGTTACAGTTGTTACTTTCAGAGTATTCATTTAAAATATGTACCAACTAACCCGAAAAGAAATGGTCTCAATTCCATTGTTTCGCGCTTTTAAGTAACAACTGTAACTCACTACACGGAAAAAATACAAAATTATTTTCTACTGTGAGAACAGTAACTTTTAATATGAGAAATCGAATGCAGGAGCATAACCGCCATGGTCAACAATTTGCTGTTTGACATGGTAATTTTAAGAAGGAATGGAAAACTACGATGTGGTGGAAGAAACAAGCGGAATTCTTCCGCAGCGTTCCGTAATTTTTATCTGAATCTCCTGTGAAAAATTACGATACCATCACTTGAATTTTCTGAGTCGATTCCGTAATCGTTGAGTAAATTGTGAGTTCCGTAATTTTTACTGAACATTTTTCTCCGTGTTCTAATAACGTGAAGAGCAGAGAAACGATCGTTTTTAGACTCGAGAAATTCCTAGCTAAAGCTAATCCACTATTTCTTTCTGTGATATTATATTTTCTGAATATCATGGATATATTCATAAATACATTTCAGGTATATTTATCATGGATTTAATGTATACTGATTTCATATTTGTCGGATGTAAATATTTTAATTCGCGATGGGTTCCCAAATGAAAAATTTATGCTGTGTCTAAGATTGATTAGTGTGATCCGGAAACAAAAGAATGACATCGAAACAGTTTTACGCGCATGTAATCATTTTTCGTGACGTATCTACATGACATACAAACGGTATACAGGAGTTGATAGGCATCGGAGAGAACTGCATGGACTGGAAGGGTAGAATTGTAGGTATATACGCCCACTTGATGCAGCGGGATTTGAAGTGGTGAGAGTTCTGGAGGAGGCATCAGACAAATATTGCATACAATAGAGGGGGGGGGGGGGGANGGGGGGAGAGGTGGATATGTAACACATGCACTCGGCACACGGTCAATGCATTTACGCCCATAGCACCGACAAATTTACCCAACGGTACACCATCATGAGTGTATATATGAACTAATATGTACTGAAGGGGAACGAACACACGTTCCAACCCATCGTTGATCGCCGCGGGACACGCGTACAAATTCCGTCAATGTTGAATGCAACATTCGCGCGGCTTCTACTTCTGTACGTATCTGTATGTATCTATATGTATATCGAACATTTCCAATTCTCTCTACCCGTCCTCCCTCGTTTATCACTCCCGTTATAGACTGTATTGACTTCTGTCAATCAGGATATAACAAAGAGGTGTATTCTACAGTATGAAAACTAATAAAAGAATTGAATAATGAATCCGGCGCCATGCAAAATTTGTAATTGGAGCTGGATGTTTTCCCATGTAAGGTTAAAAAAGATGGCCAAACATAAGGCTTACGTCGCCCGGGATTTGCCCGTTAGTAGGCGGTGATCTTCGGCCGATTATCTACCCAACTTCGGAGTCCTACCTACGGCCATCAACGCCACCCATGTCTGCCCAATATCGGCGTTTACTATCAGCCAAGCATCGATTTAAATAAATTATTCCGTTAATTGTACATATTTTTTCAAATATGTACAATCCGATTGCCGATTGTCTGTTACTCTTTCTATTAATTCGAACGACTCTAAACTGATAGAAGGATTTCGTTGCTACTAACGAGCCTTTTCAACTACTCCCATGGTTTGCTAATAGTTAACGAATCATGCTAATAGTTAAGAATCCTCGTTAACAGCAACTCAACCATTCCACATTTTCTATGAGTGCATGAATAAGACCTGGGTAATACCTTCGTCATTGTCAATGAGCATGTGTTAGGGTCTTTAATTTATTAAAAGCAATGAAAAACAAGCATTCGAATAGATCTGATAGAAGGCACGTAAACATTACTTTTTGCGTTATCAGCCTTTTTCTATTTTTATTTCTACCAATTCCAATGGTAATTAGTTCCCGAATAAATCCGTAGTAATTTCCCTGTGACGGGCATACCGCAATCAAGTTCTACAGATTGTGTACAGGGTAGGGTTGAGCGTGTAAATTACATTGGAATATGATCACAGTTTTTTACCGACGTAATTTCCGTAAATTAACATGATGGGTTAAGCTCACATGGCTTTCTTACATTTTTTACGTTACTTCGACAAACTTGCAATTTTCGGTTACTCAATTATAAACAGAAAAAAAGGATGTGACGTCACAACTTGAGTAACCCTCTTCCCACGTCGTTGCGAAGCGTCACATACTACAAACACCCGTCCCCCTTAATCTTGTAACGCAATATTTGAATTGCCCCTGTTGGGCATTTGAAGGTCATAAAAAATGCTATATTATGCCCCTCGGACAGATAATCCGTGAATTTTAACTTCACTTCATTCAATTTAAACGCGGTTTTCGTTATCGAACTACCGAAATATAATGATATAAAATATTGCTTTTACTTCACGTATTGCCGTTTCTGATATTTAAGTTAAGCCCCAAAGTTCTATGATCTTTCTGTTCATCAATCAGAAGGGTCGACAACCCGTTCGCCGAACTCACGATATCGCAATGGTACTCAGACTACTCTGTTAAAACTGACGGACGATATACGTACCGGGATCGACAGACGACAGTTACTATGCTACTTATTTACGATTTCAGCAAGGCGTTTGTTTCGGTATGTCATGTGTTGTTACTTCAGAAATTGATTCGGTATGGTTTTTCGGCAGCTGTGATCAGGTTGGTTGCCTGCTATCTCAGTGGTCGTTCACAGACGACGCTGGGTGCTGATAATGGACTATCTTCTTTTCGGCCGTTAAATCGTGGTGTTCCGCAGGAGCTGTCCTTGGCTCCTTGCTATTCCTACTGTTTATTAATGATGTTTGTGAGAGCTTAGCACCTGATGTCCAGCATCTAATCTATGTTGATGACCTTCAGCTGTATCTGCGTTTCTCTCGGCCGGATCGAGGGAAAATTCGGTAGAATATATATTTTAATTGCTGCAGAGATTAACGGTGTGGCCTGAAAAAACTTATCGAGATGTGAAGTTCGAGCTGATCGAATGTAGCTTGTGGAGGTCGGTTTTGTCGGCTTCACCAAGTAAACGATATATTCTTCTCTATTAATTGCACTACGCCACAATAGTATTCGTGATGATGAGAATCCACTTGGATGTAGTCCGGTCCGATAGGCACGAAAACGTGAAAATGTATGTATTTTGTTATTGTAAGA